CCTTACGACCCTCCCCCATCCTACCTTACCTCCCTCCCCCATCTGACCTAACCTCCTTCCCCCCACTGACCTTACCTCCCTCCCCCACTGACCTTACCTCCCTCCCCCATCTGACCTAACCTCCTTCCCCCCACTGACCTTACCTCCCTCCCCCACTGACCTTACCTCCCTCCCCCATCTGACTTTACCTCCCTACACCATCTGTCCTTACCTCCTTCCCTACACTGACGTATACCTCCCTCCCCCCTCTGACCTCACCTCCCTCCCCCATCTGACCTTACCTCCCTTCCCCCCACTGACCTCACCTCCCTCCCCCCTCTGTCCTCACCTCCCTCCCCCCTCTGACCTTACCTCCTTCCCCCCTCTGACCTTACCTCCCTCCCCCCTCTGACCTTACCTCCCTCCCCCCTCTGACCTCACCTCCTTCCCCCCACTGACCTCACCTCCCTCCCCCCTCTGACCTTACCTCCCTCCCCCCTCTGACCTCACCTCCTTCCCCCCACTGACCTCACCTCCCTCCCCCCTCTGACCTTACCTCCCTCCCCCATCTGACCTTACCTCCTTCCCCCCACTGACCTCACCTCCCTCCCCCCTCTGACCTTACCTCCCTCCCCCCTCTGACCTTACCTCCTTCCCCCCTCTGGCCTTACCTCCCTCCACCCACTGACCATACCTCCCTCCCCCATCTGACCTCACCTCCCTCCACCCTCTGCCCTCACCTTCCATTCCCCCCTCTGGCCTCACATCACTCCCCAATCTGACCTTGCCTCCCTCCCACCTCTGACCTTACCTACCTCCTGCCTCTGACCTCACATCCCTCCCCCCTCTGACCTCACATCCCTCCCCCCTCTGACGTTACCTCCATCCCCCCTCTGACCCCACCTCCCTTTCCCATCTGACCTCACGTCCCTTCCCCCCCTGACCTTACAGCCCTCCCCCCTCTGACATCACCTCCCTTCCCCCACGGAACCACCCTCCCTCCCCCTTATGGCATAACCTCCCTTCCCCCTCTGACCTTACCTCCATTCCCCATCTGACCTCACCTCCCTTCCCCATCTGACCTCACCTCCCTTCCCCCACTGAACTCACCTCCCTTCCCCCTATAGCATAACCTCCCTCCCCCCCCCCGTCCTGACATCCCTCCCCCCTCTGACCTCACCTCCTTTTCCCCCCCGACCTTACAACCCTCCCCCCTCTCACCTCACCTCCGTTCCTTTCCTCACCTCCATTCCCCCTATAGCACCACCTCCATTCCCCCACTCACCACTCCTCCTTTCCCCTTACAGCAATATATCTCTTCCCACATGAGCGCAACGTCCGTCCCCGTTATTGGACAACAGCTCGTTCCGTGGTCTTCTCCTACCCTATACCCCTCTCGCGCCGCCTCACAAAACCTCCTCCCATTCCGCCATCTACCGCCTTTCCGCCTCCCATCCTGTCGTAACGTGTTTTTCGTTCTCGATTTCAGTATGCCTTTCCGCCTCGCCCAACCTTACATGTAAAGCCATCTCATTCCTCCCGGACCCGCCATTTTGCATCTCATTCTGGTCTATACCGCCTTTCCCCCTCCCATTCCGCCCTCTATCGCCATTCTACCCCCCCATTCCGCCCTCTACCGCCTGTCCGCCTCCCATGCCGCCTCCCATTCCGCCCGCTACCGCCTTTCCCCCTCCCTTTCTGCCCTCGCATGTCATCCCGACTCGCCTACTTCCAAGGGCTGCCTTTCAGCCCAGCAAAACCTCCCTCTCTCGCCACTCCGCTTCCCATTCCGCACTATGACGCCATTTCACCCGTCATTCCGCCCTCTTCCACCATCTCCCCCTCCCATTCCGCCCTCTATCGCCTTTCCGCCCGTCATTCCGCCCTCTATCGCCTTTCCGCCCGTCATTCCGCCCTCTATCGCCTTTCCGCCCGTCATTCCGCCCTCTATCGCCTTTCCGCCCGTCATTCCGCCCTCTATCGCGTTTCCGCCCGTCATTCCGCCCTCTATCGCCTTTCCGCCCGTCATTCCGCCCTCTATCGCCTTTCCGCCCGTCATTCCGCCCTCTATCGCCTTTCCGCCCGTCATTCCGCCCTCTATCGCCTTTCCGCCCGTCATTCCGCCCTCTATCGCCTTTCCGCCCGTCATTCCGAGTTCACACTGCACATCCCTTCTCCCATGCCGCCATTCATCCACTCATTCCGCACATCCCTACTATAATCCGCCATTCATCATCTCATTTCGCCGTTCATCTACTGGTTCTAGCCGTTCAAGGTCTTTTTCTGCCGTTCACCCTCTAGTTACACCGGTCCTACTCTCATTCCACTAAGCCCTTCTCTTTTTTCGCCGTCCCTTTTCTCATTCCGCCGTTCCTACTCTCATTCCGCCGTTGCTACGACGGTTTCGCGCTCCCTATTGTCATTCCGCCCTTCATCCTCCCTTTCCTCCCTTTTTCTTCCCATTCAACCCGTATACACATATTTCCGCCCGTCATGCGAGACCATTCCGCCTCTCTGACTCGCGTTCCGCCGTCGTCATCTCATTTCGCCCTTTATATTTTCGTTCCGCACTTGACGCTCTCATATCGCAATTACTTATCGCATTCCGCTCTTTCGCCCCTCATTCCGCCCATCCTTACTCTTACCTCGCCTATCCCTAACCTATCTCTGCCCGTCCCTAATAATAGCGTGCTCTCGAATGCATACCTTGTTTCTGTGGCGGTTGGGAAGGTGCTCAGTGACGGGACCCTAGAATTGGTTGAGTTTGCACTCTGTTTGAGACACTTCAGTTTTGTTTTCGTGCGACATGCTGTAGTCGTCGAGGTGGGTCGTTCAGGGCTTGATCTGGGCGAACCCTGTCCCCTTAGGCTCGTCCACATTCCAAACCTGACCACCTTGGTTTGTCTTGGCCTCGGCTGTTTTGGAGTTCGCTTTATTTGTTTCACATTCTCGTCACAAATTTCGTCGTTCGTCACCCAATCCCATCCCTGCAAACCCAACCAAGTATTAAACGCTTGGAAATTGGAGACGCGAGCTTTAACGCCTACAGAACAGCGGTGATTGCATTGCCGTTCAAAGCCCTTGGGGGGAAGGTGGGGATGGAGGTTCCCGATGCGGTTGCGTAATTTCGCTTTTCGGGAACAGAAGTTTCTTGAGTGGCATTACGCCCAAACCTCGGAGGTGGGTTCCGCCTCCGTTTCCGGATGCGGTCGCGATGCCGATGCCATCTTTTTCATTCAAAACTTCGATTTGCTGGCGAACAGCACCACGATTTCTCCCATACACGGGGAACTCATCAGGCAGCTTCTTTCGCTGCTGTCACATCCGCCAATCGCGAGTTCCCCTTCCACGTTCTCACGCCAACAAACCGCCAAACCCCGCGCGCCAGCAAGGAAGTGCGCGTGCTAGTCAGCCGCCATCTTGGGAATTGGCGCACGCTGGTTGTCAATTGGTTGTAATCCGAAGCCCTGGAAACATCTCCCGCCAGAACTCCCCCAGTCCCGTCCTTGAAAATATTTTCAGCTACCCGCAGTGGCGAAATCCAATCAGGGACTCCCGTGCGTACTTTTCCAAACGTTCTGTTGCCCGGTTTGTGCTGCAGCAGCGGTGTTCTTCGAGGTTACTTCCCGCCCCATCTCCACTTTTCCCCCTCTTTCCTCTCTTTCCCCTTCTCTCCCCTCTCCCTTCCCTTTCCCTACCCTACATCCATCATCACCACGCTCGACATATCCCCCCCTTTCCCTCTCTCCTTCCCCTTTCCCCCCTATTCCCTCCCCCCCCTCTCTCAGTGTTCTTTCGTCTTGCACACGCATATCTCAGACATTGCCCTATCTATCCATTCATTGCACCTCGCTGATGCCTCTTTCCCTGCCAGACGTTTCTGCCCATCCCACGGTGATAATTGTCCTCTCCTATTGTCGCCTTGGTTTCATGGTGTGGCATTGACAGCTGGTTGCTTATTGATGCTTGCACTAAGCACTCCCTAGCTCTAACGTATGCTCTTCAGCCGATTTGAGCTACGCAGGTATAGGAGTGGGGCCTTCATATATTTTTGTCTTCAAGTCGTTTTTTAGTTAGGTATTAGAGTGGTTATACAGGTAGTTCTGTTTTTTTTTTTCTCTCTCTCTCTCTAAATCGACGGCTGGAAGTAGAATTGTACTCTTTTCCTGCTTATTTCCTCCCTTTGCGACTCGAAGTTTTTATCTGCCATCGTGAAGCAGCGTAGCCGTAGGCGGACCAGCCCAGACCGAAGCAATGCTGCGAAACCGCGAAACTTCGCAGACTTTTGGCGCCACTTTCGTGCAGCAGTTTGCGAACGCAGAGGACGACCTCGACCACAGCAGGGCAGCCGGGGGAGCAGGCGGTGCCGGGACCGCCGCCGCCGCATCCGGCGGCGGCGGTGGCGGCGGAGGGAGAGTCACAGCGTCCGGCGCCATAGAACTCAGCGTAAGAAGCGGAGAAAAGGACGAAAAGGATTCGGATAGAGAGGATTCATCTCGTTCGCACCATGGGAAGAGCCGAGCAGCGGAGTGGACGCGAGAGGTTGGGAGAGACATGTGCCGCGATTGGAATAAAGAGCGGGAGTGGGGGCGACCGCCAGCAAGTTCCTCCGCAGGCGGAGATAGGACGGCAGGAGGTGCGGCGGGAGGCGCGGCGGGAGGCGCGGGGAGAGATACGGGTCGGGAAAAGCCTCAAGTGGTGGACGACACATTAGAAGACGACGATGATAGCCCTGCCGACCCGGAGGTGCTGTCGAGATGGAAATATGGCACGCCTACGTCAGCTTGGTATGCGACGCGCTTTAATAAGCGCAGGCGAAACCCCTGGGCAAGCGGTGGTCACGGTGCCGGCGCTAAGAGCGGGCGGGGAGGGATTCTAAGCTTTTCACTTAGCGCGGTGGATTTGGTGCTGCTGCTGCTGTTGATGCTGCTGCTGGTGTACGTTCACGAACAGGACCATCGCGGGTGCGACGTTTTCGTTGACGACCTCGAGTTTTTGCGAAAACAGTTGTTTCACTGTAGAGCGGAGAGTTTTGACCTAAAGAAACAGCTTAATAACGCGTACCGCGGCCGCGCGTGGTCCGCGTGGCAGCACTGCGCCGCCAGTCCCGCGCAGATGTCCGCCTATTACAACTACACCCCTGGCAGCACGTGCCCGCCCGTAACAGTTTCGGTTACCAGCGAAGCTAGTGGCGGCTCCCGCGCATTTGAGAATGGTATGGCGCAGCCGCCGCGGCAGCAACTTCAGGGAGAAATTCAGGAACAGCAACAGAAGCAGCGCTCAGAGCAGTCAGGCCAGTCAGGCCAGTCAGGGCTAGCACGTGAACAGTGGGAGCTGCCGCCGAGCTCTAGACTAGACGAGGCTTTGCTCTTCGACGCGCGATGCCTCGACCTCCCCCGCCGCGCATGCTTCTCCGATTCCTCTCCTCTCTCGCCCTCCATCGCCGCAACTACCGCCGCGGACATGGTTTCGGGGGACGCCACGGTTGCCACCGCAGCCGGTGGATCTGCCGAGCCGCCGTTGCGGGAAGCGGCGAGGTGGACAATTCCCGACGCGAGGAGCATAGCGTGGGAACCGTACGGCCCGTGCCGCGACTGGGAGTGCCTCATGGAGCAGGAGGAGCAGGCCGAGCGCGCCTGGCGCGGAGATGGGGATGCCGGTGGCGTTGGTGGTGGCGGTGGTGGTGACGATGGCGGGGGTAGTGGTGGCGATGGTGCAGGCGTGACCAGGGGGGATTTGGCAGGGGAGGGGATGTTGGGTGGGGTGGAAGGCGGGGAGGCGGAGGGTTTGGAGATTGGACGGTTGGGGTTGCCTGCTGCTGTGCGCGGGTGTTTGGTGTCGTGCTTTAACCTGTCCAAGGCCAGGGAGAGAGGAGCTCGTGGAGCATACGGGGGCTACAGTGGTTTTGCGGAGGGTTCAGGGCTGTATGCGCAGACAGTGCCGGAAGGGGCAGCAGCAGCAGCAGCAGCAGCAGGAGAAGCAGCAGCAGGGGCAGCAGCAGGGGCAACAGGAGCAGCAGGGGCAGCAGCAGCAGGCGCGTGGGGGATGGATGCGGTGTTGGCAGTGAAACCACCAGGAGGTATTCGAGTGGGGGTCGACATCGGAGGGGGCACCGGGAATTTCGCTGCACTCATGGCAGACCGGGGCGTTACGGTGGTTACCACTGCGTCCAACCACGGTGCCCCTGTAATGGAAGTGCTAGCACACAGAGCCCTCGCAGCCCTTCACCTCCCTCCCACCGCCCGCTTGCCTTTGTCGGACTTGTCGTTAGATTTGATTCACTGTGCGTTTTGGCCGGCAATGCTCGCACACCCGCCGGCATTGGAGTCTGTTTTGTATGACTGGGACCGAGTGCTCCGCCCTGGGGGGCTGCTGTGGCTGGAAATGGTGCCTTTTTCCCGGCCGTTGATCCGGAAGATCCTGGCCGTTGCTGAGGTGGCGCAGTGGAAGAAGCTGAAGTGGGCGAAGGTGGTGGCTGGTGGGGGGAGTGGAGGTGGGGGAGGGAGTGGAGTGGGGGGTAGTGGAGGGGGAAGTGGTGATCATGGGCCTTGGTTGCTGAATGTGCTGTTTGAGAAGCCTATGAAGAGAGTAAGGGAGGAGAGGAGGGCAATTGCTGTGATGAGTTGAAGGCTAGGTTGAAACGTGAACGGGGTTTTCTCTGTGGCTGTGTTGTGTACAGAGGATGCCTAGTGGCATGTGACACCAAGGAAATATCAGCAGCTGATGCATCATGAGGTAGCTTGCGATACCCTGCTTTGTTTATCGTCATGCTATTGTAGCCAAGCTTCCAAGTTAGGCAATAAATGATTAGTGATCTAGCTATGTTTGGCAACCGTGTTTATGATAGATGTCTGCTCTATTGCGTAGAGTGTATAGCATTACTCGCACAATTGGAAAACCGTTGCACCGACATTTTTTTCCTAGTCGCATCGTTTGCGGTCAGCTTGTTCTGAACTAAACTAGAACGTGGACGATTCCTACGGCGTAACATAAAATTTTGGCGGCTTCTGGGGACAGCTGCTTCGGAAATTCATGTTGCGTTGCTGCCCGGCCTTCTGCCCTCCCTCTAGCGTGAATTCCAAGCGCAGCGAAACGACAGGCCGAACGTGCATCAAGAAATTTGTGCACGACCACACTGGAAATTTTGAAAGAATCACATCACATCTTCCCCCCTCGCCAAAACCTCGAGAGCGGAAGGGCGAACTGGGCGAGGTTCGACCTACCGCCAATTGCGGAGAGTAGAATCTGTGGCAGAGCCAAGCCGCATTTCTAAAAAATTCCGGGCCGCATCTTGCGATCCGCCAAGCTCCACAATTGACGCCAGCTACATTGACGAATTGCGCAAATTTGGAATCCGCTGGAGGGGGAGAGAAGAGAGATAGAGACGAGGGAGAAAGACCGTTTCTCCCATCAAGAAATGGCACCATTGCTGCCCTGCCCTTCCTTTCATTCTCTCCCCATCGGCACACCCCTTCGAAATGCTGCTTCCCGACACTCCAACCAAACCAAACAGAGGTGACATACGCAAGCCACTCAAACACAATCAACAAGCACGTCACTTCCGGAGCTTACAAGCCAGTCTTGTCCGTCCCGTTGCAGCGCCCTCATCGTGTTGCTACTCAGCTTTCCGATAGCTCCACTCCTACCTCTCATTTCACCATAACGAAATTTTAGACGACTTACCTCCAGCTACCATCCTTCTCTGTAGCGCAAAATCAGGCCAGAATCTACCTCGTTGTTGGTTGTTCTTTGAAGTAACGGTTTGAGAAATTTAGTCACCTTGTATATCCGCAGAAAGAATCTCAGCTGCATGTCGAAACGGTGACTCGTCGAATGGATTGTCCAAACCTCAGTCCAGCGTTTTCGAGCGGAAATAGCAAATCGGTTAGCGAGGTCGCTTATAGCGACCCTTCGATCAGTCCCCCAACCTCCCAGTTTACTTCCTCCGCCTCCACAACCCCTCCGGAGTCCCTTTCGGCGCGGATGGGCCCAGACATAGAGGATCTAGAACCACTTCATCTGAGAGCAATGACGTCGGGAACGATCGTTCTGTTACCTCGTGCGACGAGCCGTGCAACCAGTCGCTCTCGCCCCCGTCCGCGGAGCGGCGACGTCGTAGGTTTCGCACGTCGTTCGTCACGCAAGCGGACGCCTTGTTTCGCAAGAACGTCGCATACCAGCGCCGCAACTGGGGCACGAATGCATGCATCGTCAGCCTCCCCGCCCTCCTATGCATCGTTCTACAAGCCCTCCAAATCCTACTTGATAACGTTATGATGTCAACCTACAAATGCGGATGCGGCTGTCCCAAGGAATTCAGGCTACCTGATTCCACCTGCCCACCTGAGAAAATCACCTGCGGCCCGGAGTACTCCACCGCGTCGCAGATGCCCTTCTGCGCCGTCCCCGCGCCGCCCATGTGGCCGGCGTTTGCGCAGGTGCCGCCGAATGCGGCCAGAGCAGCCGCTCCGCCCGGGGTGGGCGCTTCGTTGGGGCTTCCGCCAGCCACGTGTCGGTCTGAGGGTGGCCAGAGCTGTCCTACGGTGATTCTATACACGGGACAAAATCGAACCGCTGCTGAGGGTAACTTCCTCCGAGTACCCCCTGAGTTCGTCTCTTTTATGTTTTCTTAGCCCCTGAGTTTTGTATAGTCTGTAGTGTTCTTTACACCGCTATCTTCTTCCCTCGCAATTCCCAGTTCATTTTCCAACCCGCCCCCTTCCCCCCTGCTCCCTTCCCGCCCCATATTCCATCCCGCAATCCACGTCAGCAATGGCGCCACTTCTCGTACCTGACGTGCTCTACACGTCACTTAGGTCTGTCCGGAAACATCCAAGCACTTTCCTCTCCACGAATGATACCGTGGCTGTCGCCACATCTCACGCTAACCCTCTTCCGCCAACCACCTCGGTCTCCGCTCCGCCTCTGTCCGTCCCCGTGGGCGGAACAAAGCCGCTGCTTCGCGGACAATCTGGAGGATTGGCGGAGACTCTCTCCGCGCCGGGGCTGGGAGGGGCGCAACCCATGGGGGGAAGCGGGTCTGTTGCGGGGATGGCGGAAGCCGTTGGGGGAAAGGGGCAGGGGAACAGGGGAAGGGGGAGGGGAAGGAGGCAGGTGGCGAAGCACGACGTGCGAAAACGCCTGAACGAAATGGTTACAATAGCGGGAGTGGAGAACGCAGTATCGCGGATGCCAAAGAGGCAGAAAAGAACAGACGCACGAAATCTGCAACACATCAGCATAATCAGGGGCAACAGCAGGAGCAGCCGTAGCAGCGTCACCAGCAGCAGCTGGTTTAGCGATTCACACAAGGAGAAACAGAACGGCCAGGAACCGGGATTCCGGAGATTAATTCGGGAGCGGAAAACACGCAGCTACAACAAACAGAAACAGCAGCGCAACACGACAGCCGGGTACTGGGTCCCGTCGTACGTATACGACCTGTCCCAGGTAACACCTGGAACGGCAACCTACCCCGGATGGAGTCTGTTGCTGGAGGAGGCGGTGTCGCCCGTGGGGTGGCAGGCCAACTCGTCGCTGCTGCTGCTGCTGCCGCAGTGCCGCGGGAATATGCGCGGCTTCACGGTCAACGCGACGCTTGCCGATGCTATCACGCTCCCCGTCCGTAAGTGATGTGCCCATACTGATGTTGCCACCCTTCCGTGCGTAAGTGATGAGAGGCATTCATTAGCAGTGCCGCGGGAACATGCGCGGCTTCACTGTCAACGCGACGGTCGCGGATGCTATCACGCTCCCCGTCCGTAAGTGATGTTTACGGCGTTTTGTGGGTAGTGTTGTGGTATCCTGCTGGGTAGTGTTTATGACTTCTGCGAATTCTCCAAGTTGCTCCCTCTTCTACCCCTCACCCGCGATTCACCCTCCCCTCCCAACCCCTCCCAACCCCTCCCAACTCGTCCCATCCCCTCCCCTCCACTCCTTTCCCCCCACCATCTCTTTCTCGTCATATCTGCTCATTGTAACAGGAGTGGAGTGCGTAGATGTAGACACGGTGTGGCGGGACACGCAAACGGATATCGACTCAGAAGTGTATGCAGGCCACTATCAGGCGAATCCTGAGCAAGCCACTAACGCGTACACAGCAGCCTTTGACTTCCAGGACACGGGCCCGACTCGTTATAACCCTGTGATTCAGTATAACTCGTCGTACAACAACGCCAGTATCGGCGGCACCCCCGCCACGCTCCTCCGCTTCGCTCGCCTCCTTAACCTCGCCTCAAACGCGTTTATCAAGTCCTTCCATAGCGGGGATGAACTAAACACTGCTTCTGCACCAGCAACAGCACCAACACCAGCAGTAGCACCGGCAGAGATTCCTTTGCTATTTGTCAAAGACTTTCCAAAAGTGGAAACCACGTTGGGCGTGGACTTTGTATCGCTCCTCGGCCCTCTCTTTTACATGTGGGTGCTGCAGCTGCTCCTGCCAGTGATGACCGTGGCACTGGTGTACGAGAAGGAGCAGCAGCTGAGGATAATGATGCGCATGCATGGGCTCAAGGACGGGCCGTACTGGCTCGTCTCGTACCTCTACTTCCTCCTGCTCTCCCTCGCCTATATCTTCTTCCTTGTCGCCTTCGGGTCGCTCATCCGTACGTTCCCCCTCTCCCCCCTCCTCCCCCCTCGTACTCACCCCGTGCACTGCATGCCAACACTCTTCACTTCCTCCTGCTCTCCCTCGCCTATATCTTCTTCCTTGTCGCCTTCGGCTCGCTTATCCGTACGTCGTGGGAAGGTCTTTGTAGGTGGATTTTGAGTCGCTTATCCGTACGTTTTTTTGGTAAGTTCCCATGATCTGCTGTCGGTGCTGCTGTTGTGCGGAATGAACATCTAGTTCTGGTGCTTGGCGTGGGGACAGTGGGAGGGTAGAGGGGCAACACCCAGACAATCGCTCCACCCTCTACCTTTCCCCCCCTCACTTCATCACACAGCTCAAACCACTTCATCACTTCAGCACACAGCTCAAACCACTTCATCACTTCAGCACAGAGCTTATTTTTGAGTCGACTCAAAAATACAATCTCTCCACCTTGGACGTCCCTCTACCTTTCCCCAGAGCTCAAACCACTTCATCACTTCAGCACACAGCTCAAACCACTTCATCACTTCAGCACAGAGCTTATTTTTGAGTCGACTCAAAAATACAATCTCTCCACCTTGGACGTCCCTCTACCTTTCCCCAGAGCTCAAACCACTTCATCACTTCAGCACACAGCTCAAACCACTTCATCACTTCATCACAGAGCTCGAATCCTTCACGCTCAACCCATACGGTCTACAACTTCTCCTCTACATCGTGCCAGCCAACACACAAATCTTATACTCATCCCTTCCCCATTCACCCACCCTCCCACCTTCTCCCGCAGAGCTGAAGTGCTTCACCCTGAACCCCTACGGCCTACAGCTCCTCCTCTACATCGTGAGCGCCAACACACAGATCGCACTCGCCATGCTGCTCTCTACAGCCTTCGCCCACACGCGCCCCCGCCACCGCCACCACCTACCTCTACGTCTTCACATCAGCGCTCCTCGGCCAGTTCCTCTACCGCAATCTGCTTGAGTCCGGCTCCTACTCAAGTGAGTATCGTGGAATTCCTTCCTTTTCTTTGGCGCCTTGCCACACGCACCCCCCCACCGCCGCCACCTACCTCTACGTCTTCACCTCTGCACTGCTCGGCCAGTTCCTTCTACCGCAATCTGCTTGAGTCCGGCTCCTACTCTAGTGAGTATCGCGGAATTCCTTCCTTTTCTTTGGCGCCTTGCCACACGCACCCCCCCACCGCCGCCACCTACCTCTACGTCTTCACCTCTGCACTGCTCGGCCAGTTCCTCTATCGCAATCTGCTCGAGTCCGGCTCTTACTCCAGTGAGTATCGCCATCCCATGGCCAGGGATGAGGTGAGTACAGGCCCTTCTCTGGTGGTGACACGAATTTTTTGTCGGCTAGAAAAATGAGTCGTGCTCTGACTCAAGTGAGCAACGCCAGAGAACACGGGCCTTCTATTGTTCTATGTCTTCGCCTCTTTCCCAGCGTTCGCCCTCTATCACAGCGTTCGCCCTCTATCACAGCGTTCTGCCCTCTATCACAGCGTTCGCCCTCTATCACAGCGTTTATGAGCCTGATTTACTCCCTTTTTCCTCCTCTTCCTTCCTTCCTTCTCCCCTCCCTTCTCCTCTCCCTCTCACCCCTTCACCCCAGCCACATTCATGACTGCTCTACAGCTCTTCCCAGGCGGTCATGCTTCAACCACGGGGTATACGAGTTTACTCTATCCCTCTCATTTCCCTTTCCCTCTCCCTCTCTTCTTCCGCCCCACCTCCTTCCTTCCCTCCCCCAGCCACATTCATGACTGCTCTACAGCTCTTCCCAGCATTCATGCTCAACAACGGGGTATACAATCCTTGGTCTCACTCCTTCCTCCTTCTCCCTTCCTACTCCCCCCTCTCTCCCTCCCACCAGCCACATTCATGACTGCACTGCAACTCTTCCCAGCGTTCGCCCTCTACCACGGGTATACTAGTTAACTCAGTCGTCTTTAATAGGCTCCTACCAGGCCTCTCAGGCACTCACCTGGGCCACCGCCGCCACCAATGGTTACCTGACAGGTGTCGTGATCCTGGCCGTCGAATGGCTGGTGTTCCTGCTGCTCGCGATCTACCTGGATCAGGTGGTTTCGGCGGGTAGTGGGGTGAGGAAGCATCCTCTCTTCTTCCTCCGCAGGTGCAAGAGCGGCTGCCGGAAGCTTCTTGGCTCGCTTAAGAAGGTGCTGCAAAGCTGCAGGCTTGGAGGGGACGCCCGGGTGCATGCGGCCTTCCAGGAAGGTTCCTGGAGAAATGAAGAAGGAAAGGAGTGGAAAGCAGGGGCGGCGGGGAGTGGGAAGGCGGAGTGGGGGGAAGGGGAGGTGGGAGGAGGTGTTGTGGGCGCGGGGCATGGGACAGACGTGGGGGAAGAAAGGGAGGAGGCGAAAGGGTGTTTGGACCGAT